ATTATTTAAAATAAAAGTACAAAATAACTATTTGAAATAATTCATTCCGTACCGTTATTTTCGATGTCGTTGCGACAATAAAATGACGATAAAAATGATTTAGATCCATTTGAAATAATGACAATTTGAAATAACGAATTATTTCGTTACTTTTTAATTTCAAATATGACAAAAGAAAGGGTCTAGCCGATTAAGATGGTCAAAATTGCCTTTAGGAGTTTTTTTAATGACTATTATACAGTTCGATAGTTGACCAAGAAAAACTCATCTGTGCAAAATTTCATTCCTGTAATTTTTTTTCTGGTTGGCTGGGCCACCTCGCGTCAGCCGTGCTCGCCTCTTATTGGTCAATGTTTCTCGTTAATAACTCGTAAACAAAGCCGTGGATAGCATTTTCGCTAAGGAAAAAGTTACTTCAAATGGCCTTAGGAATCCTTCATTTCTGGATTGCGAGACATTTTCGGGACACCCTGTATTCCGAATAGTGCCCTGCGAAACGAGCCCAGGTCCGTTCGATAGGGAACCGCGGATGGTACAAAGAAGCTTGCTGGCCAGCCGACTTCGATTTTTCGTAAAATTATCTGGCGACTGGCACGCCCCGAACAAAGCGAAAGTTCCAGTTGTCAATTATTTTCGTTCTCTCCGTTTTGTCCAAGTGCTGTATTATGAAAAGCGTATACGTATGGTACATTTCCCGCGTGGATTCGACGGGCCGTTATTGTCGGCGGAAGATAACAAACAGATCGTAAACTTTACAATTGAGTGCGAACTCTGAAAGCCGGGAATCGCAATGCGAACCGATGCCGGACTTCCGTTGAAAACTTTCTGACTGACTGTCAAACTACAATAGGTCTCCCTCCTCGATGCACTGAATAAATACACTGGCCACAAGTAAGTAGAAAATCCCATTCGTGGAAAGTGAACCATGTTACGACCGTTTCTACGTGAACAATGAAAAACCACGTTCGTTTCCATTCATCCCGGCGATACGCTTCCCTTTTATCTTTGCTTATTATTGCTAACGTTATTACGCACGCATACTATAGCAGAACCACGACTATTGCAATATAGAAATATACAATATATATACATATATATATATATATATGTATATATATATATATATATATATATATATATATATATATATATAAAATAATATAATATAGTATAATACAATACAATACAATACAATACAATACAATACAACACAACACAACACAACACATTAATATAACAATATAATATAGAAATATAGAAATGTAATATTAATTGTAATATTAGAAAGAACATCGAGAAAAGTGTTTTTGTGTCAAATAGCCTGCTACAAGGAATGCAACGTAATTGTTTCATTGAAAAATATTTGTTGAATTCTGTTTGATAATGTTTCGTCCAAAATTAAAAAACAGTGACCAATGAGAGATCGCGTACGATTGACGCTCCGCTCTGTCGTTGCGTTAGACGGCCCGCGCGACGCGGCATTGGCCGCAAGGGCGAAGCGCCGGGCGTACTCGCTTTCCGATTGGTCCGTGTTTTTTCATTAATAATTCATAAACGAAGTCGCGGATTGAATTTTCGATAAGAAAAAAGTTATTTCAAATGACCTCAGGAACCTCCCATTTCCCAGAAGTACCATAATTTTGGGATACCCTGTAATGTACAGTCTCTTGCCGAATTTTTCATTTCGAATTAATCAGTAATTATAGGTCATTATGGCACCGCAGGTTTCACCAGATTAGATTTAAAACAGCAAAAAAAATTGATCCTTTGAATTTAAGATTATTAATATATTATTTTCTATTTAATCGATCACATGAAAGTCGGTATTTGTCTGTATCGTTAAATAAACGAATTAGCAGCTGCTCTTTGCAATTGGTCTTTTTATACATAAACAAAAAGAAATGTCTTCGACCTATACCGATGGAACATAACCGTCGATAATTCTGAATTTACTTGTCGTTCGCATCGTACCATTAGTTTCTGCAACATGTAACGTTAAAAATTGATCGATTAATTTTGAATTTACTCGCACATACGTATTAAGCGAAAACAGGTGATTACACTATCCGACAAAATCAAACCTTTTTTTATATTTCCTATAACCACTATGAAATTCTTGTAGAGTTTCACTCCCCGAACAAGAATCCGAAAACCGAATTGCTCCATCATCCTTAGTTTATGAAAGTAGTTTATGAAAGTAGTTTATGAAAGTTTATTGAAGTACTAAAAAAAATTCAAATATTATTTACGAAAGATGGGTGCCCCATTGGATCCCTCCATCGGTGTTGATTACGCATAGCTTCGGCCCTGTCGGACAGAGAGAAGCGAGCAGCGAAGAACATGACGGCAAAACGTCGTCTATATGTTGCCGACACTTTTACCGGACCGTTTCTTCTTCAGAAATGTCTACAGAATCTGATCCTGGGTAGAGTTTTTGTGCAGGGCAAACAACTTTTCGTAAAAGTACAAAAATATTTTTTAAACTTAGACATTAATTTATTGCTATTTAGGACCAAAAAAACAATTAATAAATTGCATGCCACTATATTCGGAAAACTCTTTTAACACCGATTAGAACTTTCTAATGTTTTTACTTTTCATGCAATACCTCATTTTTTTCGATTATTTTGGGTTTTTACAAAAGCTCGTTTTTTTTCATAAACTGAGGGTGATAGTGCAATTCGGTTTTTGGATCCTTGATTGGGGAGTGAACCTCTACAAAAATTTCATAGTGGCTATAGAAAATCAAAAATCATGTCGGACAGTGTTATCGTAGAATGTTTTGCGCAACTATTTCCAAGGAGCATACGAGGGTTGATTGTTTCAAGCCGCTTACGATTTGCCTCGCGAAGATAAAATACCAAAGAAAATGTTACATTGTTCGCTAAAAGCGTAACAACGCGACGCAAGAGGAAGTTTTACAGTTTTATGTACCGTGTATTTTTATGTTCCCTATAAATACAATGATCGATAGCTCTCAGAATTGAGTTGTAAAGATTGCTAAAAATGATCGGAAGAAAACAGTATACGGGGTGGGGCATTTGAAACAAGACACCCGAATAAAAACTCGCTTGTTTTTGACAATAGAAAAAAAAGTGTCAGACAAAAGTTGTTTGATTTCGAGGGTCGCCATATATGATGTCAATAATTTTTTTTATAAGTGGAGGCGTAGAGGACATACGAAGGTCGAACTTGTTTTTTTAAAAATGGGATGACCTAATTTTTTATTCACATTCCGATAAAGTCTTTCAAGACCAATATAACGGCCTATAAATGAAGGTCATTACAAGGTCACAACATATGAACTACAATGAAAAACAAATTCTTCCAAGTATACGTATATTATTCGTACAGAAAATTTTAATGCCTTTGTGCTGCTAATAGCAGCGACGACGGGCATGAATTTTGCTACCTATACATATGATGTCATTGTAATTTACAGACACACGTGCGACGTTGCAACGACGCTAGTTCACTCGGCGAGTCGACGCGAAGCGTTCTTATTATAACATTACATTTTCCGATCAACCCCGTGTAATAGTACGTTTAATGGAATATCGATACGAACCGATACATGTTCTAAAAGATTTTGCAACTCGTATCCTCTATTAATATTAGTGGAAACTAAAGGGTTCGTAAATAACACGTTAAGAGTCAATAAATCGATAATCAGGTCGGAAATAACAGTAAAGACAGGCTAACGATAAAATTTATCATGTGTAACGGGACAACATAACCTCCCGAAGAAATAACAATTCAAGATGCACGTTCCGCGAAACGCTCTACAGATTTGTCTCGTGCAGAAAATATCTGGATCTAGGCGATCCAGCGTGCACGGATCGCGTCTCGTTCGGAAAATGCTCGTACGTATTTTTATTCCGTTAAATAATGATCGAATGTTTGGTACGGTCGCGCAATTAGTCGGAGGGCGGCGCGGTTCGAAAACTGTACAGGGTTTCACGCTCTGATTAAAGGGCTTAAAATAAAACTTAAAATGATAAAAACTTTGTTTGAGCGTAACCCGAATTAACGTTCACTAGAATGATTATAACATAAAATTCGAATCTGACGACCTTTCCCTACGTTTTTCCGTTGCAACGAATCGACGTAAGTTAATACGTGCTCCAATTTCGTCGCACGCATTCGGCGTACTTAACGACTTTACCGACCGGTAGGCAGTTGAACGTCCTCTACACATCTCACCGGTCACTCGGCCGTAAACATTTCCCTGATATGGCTCTATTTCGGCTTGGACTTTCGAGCACGAACACTTTTACGCACTTTTTCTTTTGCTCATAGAAACGTTAAGTGAAACTTTGTTTATTATCATATTATATATTATTCGCTTTCTGTTATTACAGGGTAACTGAATCTAGTAACATTTTTATATTTTCATGACATTAGCATCGAACAATATTTATTTTATTTATCGCGATAGGTATATAATATATATTTGAAAAATTATAAAATATAATATTTTTTATTTTATATAATATATAAATAATTATAATAATATGGGAGCTTATAGTATGTAGTTCGATCTAATCTTGTTGAGGTAAAAGTACCTCAACAATAGATAACAAATTATTGGTTGCCATGACAACTGAAGCGCAGCCTACCGGTCGGAGTGAAAAGCCGATTTATAGGCTACCGGTCGGTAAGCGTTGAACTGAAAAAGTCGATTAACTGGCTACCGGTCGATAAAGTGTTAACGTTCACGAAGTTCCGACGGGAAAGGTTCAGGAGACGGACGTTATCGCTGGGTCCTTCTTCGGACGCGCGAACCTATTTATTATTTACCAACAATAGGCTCGGTTGCGTTGTTGAACACGATGGGCGCCGATGCGGAGTTTCGTGCTCGAAAATGTTCATTCCTCGATGAAAGAAAAAATAGGAGTGTTTCTGGGAATTTAAATCATAACTATTGTATGCTGGCCTGGATCTCTATATATCCACCGAGTCGCGAAGGTCCTAGTGAAATCTCTATTTTTCTCTTACAGTTTGCAACTTCGTGGTGCACGACCGCTGTCTCAAGGCCGTCGTCTCTCCCTGCTCCAGCATCGCGGCAAGCCTCATTAAGGTAAGAATACCCTCTGTTTCTGTTCTTGCCCCTTTTGTGCGACCGGAGATGAGCGAATTCTTCCCAGCGACCTATATTTACGCATCGGTGAAGAATACTCTGCCGCAGTGTCGCGGCTACGTTGATAATTCTCCTCGCAACGAGGCTAACTTCGTTGCGGAGCTTGTGCCCCGGACAATTATAATATTTCCATAAATTTTTCACCTCGGCTGTTTCCCGTTGTTCCGAAACTGAGCACGGCCCGACATCGGATGGCGTAATCATCTACGGTGCGGCGCTATATATCCTTACAATTAGTTTTATCTTGATAACTAGAGTAACGAAGCCGGTTACAGTGGGCTGGCCAATTACTGTGCCTTCAGTTTATTTGCAAGCATAATTAACTTTATATTTATCGTGTGAAACGTATTAAGTTTCTTGTTTTATTTAAAATTTATTTATTTATTTAAATTAAGAAACGGAAGTTCTTAAAATACCGTAAAAAGTTTTTTCTATTTTTTGATACCGAATTCGTGAATTTTTCTACAAAGGTTATGGAAAAGCTTAAGAAAATACGAATGAAGATAACAATATTCAGTAAAATAAATCGTAAAATATATTAAGATTAAAGAAAAATAAAACAGTGATTATTTATTTAAATTTTTGTTTTTAGCTCCGATTTCAGTAATTTATTTACTACTGTGAATAGTAGTAATAGTAGTAGTTTATTTACTACAGTGAATAGATTTCTCGCTCGATGCGTTTAGTTCTTGCGTCGCGTATCACAGAATAGGCCTATACATATACTATATCTTCAAAGAAAAGAAATGTAAGTGTGAAATTTTATTAAAGCAGTCCTTTCTGATGTGAACTTTTAAATAACTTATTATATTAATTTTCTTTATAAAAAAATAAAAGTTATTAAAGTATATTGAATACTGCATTTTTTTTATGCACAGTAATCGAGGTTCAGTATTCAAGGAGGGGGTGTACAGTAACTGACCTTTGTAGATCGTAGGCACACAGTAGCTGGCGCCAGAACTTTTTATTCTTTCTCCTAACGTTTAAAGAAAATATATTTGTTTCATAGGGTAATTTATATGGAAAAAAGAAGCTACGAACTTTACCTTTAAATTCTTAAGAGATGTCAATTAAATTATCGAAGTTGTTATCAGTAGAGAAAACTCCAGAAGTCCGCCACCCGGGCACAGTAATTGGCTCCTCTACCCTATTTACTTTAGCATATTTTACTTTTCTAGCGTGCTTTACCTCTTTACTTTTCTCAATTTTGACCAATTTACCATAATTTTTGGTTAAATTGCTTCGGTTTGTCACTAAAGCGAATCTTATTGAAAATGTCAAATCATAACAATGGAGGTCGAAACGCAGAGTCAGATATTATTGTAGTCCGCTAGGTCTACATCCTTCGTCTACGTCACTACATTCGTGACGTCACGGATGCGCAGTTCAGCAGTGCAGAGATAGAGGGCAGTGTAGTCGACGGGCGCGTGACGTGACCAATCGCAAACGTGAGAGAATTTTGGCAACTCTGCTGCCCTCTATCTCTACTCTGCGTAGCTGTTCATCCGTGAGGTCACGGATGAAGTCACGGTACATTTCAGGGAATTCACGGCAACAGTAGTGCCCACTACAGTAACGCTAACGTAGCGATACCACGCTTATGTAGATATAATGTTAACATCTCTATGAAAACAACAAGAATTATATTGCTTTTTCTAATTAAACTTTCGCGAACCACGCGGGTTCAAATTAAACCCAGTGATTTAAAAAAAATGTTTCGATGTTCACTTAGTCAGAAGCGGAGAAATTGTTGTTTTTGTTATTAATAATGAATCGTTTAATTTTAAAACATCAGTTTCTGTTTTATCGTGGCCTGCCGTTATTACAAAAATGATGAAATACCATTATTGTACAAGCGAGAAATGAGGAATTCTTGAGGTCATTTGAAGTAACTTTTTCCTTTGCGAAAATGCAATCCGTGGCTTTGTTTACGAGTTATTAACGAAAAACAGTGGCCAATGAGAGATCGCGTACGGCTGAGGCCCCGCCTTGATGCTGCGTCAGACGGCCCGCTCGACGCGGCATTGGTCGCAAGGGCGGAGCGCCAGCCGTGCTCGCTCTCCGATTGGTCAGTGTTTTTTGTTAATAACTCGTGAACAAAGCCGCGAATCGCATTTTCGCTAAAGGAAAAGTTACTTCAAATGACCTCAGGAACCTCCCATTTCCGGATTGCGAGACATTTTTGGGACACCCTGTATTAGGTAACTTTGCCAATCCAAATAGCTGTTAAAGGAATTCTAGTGGAGATACTTAAGTCAAATGAGAGAAATAAAGCTATACTGACGTACATGTCAAAATGGCCGGTTTTGCATTTTCTATTTTGAAACGGTTGAAATTATAAAGACGCTTTTTCATTAAACACGATCGAATTGATTACTTGAGTCGAGCATACGTAATAACAAAAATGACGAAAAGTATAAATAAACTCGGTCTTGCTATTCTTATAGAACAAGACAGGTCAGTTAGTTGTTAACGCTCGATAAGATTTAGTGTTAACGTTCATTATGAAACAAATAGGTTGGAAAATTAAGAAATTCATCTTCCATAAGTATTAATCCCTTGGGAGAGAGTTTCAATTTTCTTACGACCGCTTAAGGAAAATAGAAATTGTATGGTTGCTTATTACTAGATTGGGGATCTTTATACAAATTCTTCATTTTCACATGTAAATTCGACGAAAAATTAGAGTTAAAGGAAAAATTCTCCGTCATCATCGTGAAAAGAAAAGCAAAATGCATTAGAGCTTGTCAATTTATACGTTTCGCCAGGTTCTGAAGATGCCATAAGTTGCAAGGAGATCCGCAATCTACTTTTCACCATTTTTGTTAATAATAATGAACAATAATTAATGATAATAGACGCATTTTCTAACGTGATTTCAACTTTCTTCAAATTTCCATTTCACTCAAGTCGGTTTATCGATCAAAGATTGAATGAATTCTTTAAAACAAGCCTCGAAATTAACCAGCACGCAACATTCGGATCGCGAGAGCTACACCTCCCAACTCGTGCCGCGCTTCTCGCTCCCCGTTCGGCCACCTCTTTCGACACAGAACACTTCAAGCGCCTGTACCTATTGCTTTATACAGGATGTCCCAAAATTATGTCACTTGTGGGAAAGGAGAATTCCCGAGGTCATTTGCAATAACTTTTTCCTTAGCGAAAATGTCCTACGAGGCTTTGTTTACGAGTTATTAAGGAAAAACACTAACCAATGAGAAATCGCGTACGGCTGATGCGCCGCCTTCGCGCCCTCTGCCGCTGCGCCAGACGGCCAGCGCGACGTGCTATTGGCCGCAAGAGCGGAACGCCTGCACTCGCTCTCCGATTGGTCCGTGTTACTTCAAATAGTTACTCCATATGACCTCGGGAATCCCTCATTTCCTGGAAGTGACATAATTTTGGAACACCTTATATGTGTGAGTGTGCTACATTTAGGCAGTCGGGAAGCGAGATGCGCGACGAGAGTCAGGAGGTGTGGCCCTCGCGATCCGAATGTTGCACGCTGGTTAATTCTGAGCTCTGTTTTAAAAAATACGGAACCAGAGATGTTCGATTACAGTCGAATTCTTAAGAAATCAACTATTAATATCAAATAATATTAAATATTAATTATACGCTATTTATTATTAAATAGCTTTATAAAGCTAATGTAATTTCTCTGACAAGCTGTTTTCGTGAATACCGTTAGATAAGTGCGTTCTTTATGGTAAAGGATAGTGGTTTTCTTGTTGCAGAACCCGGTTGCACATTGTTGGTCCGAACAGGAACATCGTAGAAGAAAATTCTGCAACGTCTGTCGTAAACGGCTCGATGATAGTTTATCCATACACTGTGAAAGTAAGTATGCGCCCTGAATTGTATGCCTAACACATAACGCATTGTTCAATGTATTTTGTCGAGAAAAGTCCAAAAATCGAAGTCCTGTGTGAATCTAGGAATGTAATTAAAATAAGCCCAGAATTCATTTGTTAAAAAAGTTATGCACGTTAAACGTTGACCAATTTCCAGCGTTTTCGACAGGTTATGTCGAGGTTATAGGTTATTTGTGGTTCTACGTAACGCGTGCTGCTATCTAGCGGCGCCGCTCATGGATCTACGTCTGTGGACTGAGTACGCATCAATATGGCGCGCCAACCTGTTAAAAATACAGGAAATTCGTCAACTTTGGACGCGCGTAACTATTTAATAAATTAATTCAGGCCTTAGATTAAAATTACATTCATAGATTAGGGACTTCGATTTTTTTTTATTTTTTCTTGATAAAATCCATTGAAAAGTTAAAAAAATAGAAACCCCCAAGAAAAAGTTTAACCGAGTTAATCGTTATTTTGTCGATAAATATGTTTGAATTGTTGGTAAGCGATCGGATCCCAGTGCAAAAGATTAGATTCAAATTTTAAAAAGTGTCCTGCAACACATTTGCTAGAAATAGTGTTGAATGAAAACTTTAAAAGGTTATGTCAAGGATATTTATTATTATATTATTATTATGGTTATTAACCAATTAGCTGTTTTCGTCGAATACTCATCGTGAGTAAAAATCTGCAGATTAAATTGTAATTTTAGTGAAAATTAAAATATGTTCGTAAATTTTCAGATGTTTTGAATATTATACGAGGCCAAGATGAAACAAAACGAAGAAATAAAGAATATACAAATAATTATTTTGAAAAAAACTGTAAATAGTGTGTCTGGGTTAGGCAGTACAGAGTGTCCCAAAATTATTGTATAAGCGGGAGAAGAAGGGTTCTTGAGGTCATTTGAAGTAACTATTTCCTTAGCAAAAATGCAATTCGGAGGCCGCCGCGTCAGACAGCCAGCACGACGCGGCATTGCCCGTAAGGACGGGGCGCTGGCCGCGATCGCGCTCTCGATTGGAGGACCCAGCTGGCGCGAGACGACCGATCCAATGAGCGGAACTGGGCTTCGACCGCTCGTTGGCTCGGCCGCTTTGCGCCAACTGATCTCGTCCCTCATTGGTCCATGTTTTTCGTGAATAACTCGTAGACAAAACCTCGTAGAACATTTTCGCTAAGGAAAAAGTTTCTTCAAATGGCCTCAGGAACCTCTCATTTCTCGCGTGTGCAATAATGTCGTCGCTTACGTTTTGTGACACATTTTATCTGCACACTTTTCAATGTGGTCGCAACAGCCAACTGGTTAAATGAAAATCTTGAAAGGTAACACGAAGACCGATAAATCAGTTAATCGTGTTGTTCGTTCCAGTATGCGAATACTTCGTGCATACGGAGTGCCAGGATTTTGCCGTGGCGGACTGCAAAGAAAACGCCACGTACTTACCTGGGAAAGACTTGGCGCAGGTAAAACACACTCATCACTGGCGAGAAGGCAATCTTCCCAGCAGTTCGAAATGTGCTGTCTGCAAGAAAAATTGTTTCTCTGCCGAATGCCTTTCCGGGTTCCGTTGCGAGTGGTGCGGCATGACGGTAATATTTCTCTTCATCATCGTCGTCATCATCATCATCATCATCATCCTTTATCATTATCATCGTCATGAAAAGATATCATTTTATCGACAAAACTTTTCACTTGGATCTAATAAATGTTTAAACAAATTTTCAGCTTTAACCCTCGGACTGTGATCGCAAGGTCCTTTTTGACAGAGAATGTTTAAATCGTCAACTAATTACACAATTTTAGTTATTTAAACAATTTTCGATCAATCACGAGATGTGAAAGAAACGTTAAAAATACTACATGATTGGAAGATTTCGATTTTCGGTTACAAATAATTGAACGAAAAATTTGTTCGTTTTCAATAGCCGTTAATTTTGACGAAAATTCTATTTTGGTCGCTTATAATAATGTATAATAATTTTATAATAATTATAATAATTTTATGATAATTATAATAATTTTATAATAATTATAATAATTTTATAATAATTTATATCACTTATTTGTAACGGTTATCGACTGCTCGAAATACTTATCAACAAGAGAAATCCAGTATCCACATCGCAGCAGTGTTTTCGTTGCTCGGAAAAAAAACGAGACAATAAGAAGAAATTCAAGAAACTTGATTAGTGTTGCGGAATTGAAATAATTGCCACCGAATATGTATATCCTTTTTCCCGCGATACTGAACTTTATTAACATAAAATCAACTTTCTTAAATTGGCGATGAATTTCTAAAAAGTCAAAGTAGAAGGTGTGCCTCGTACAATACATATTCTCGCACGTTATGTTCATATGATATTTTTCATTTGTTTTTGGTTTTACAGACCCACCTACGTATCAGCGTGCATTTATAAAACACTCTGTATAATCTATGACCGAAATACAATTCCTTTCATTATGTGCAACTGAAATAGAGTTTCCGTTTCCGATAATCGAAATTCATTTTGTTATGGATAAGAGTCAGAAACAGAAATGAAAACAAAATTTATTTACATTTATTTTCATTCTTACCATTTTCAATAAATTGGAAATAATCGAACAGCATTGTTAAATTTACCCACCGCATATGTACTGTTTCGTGCTCAAGCCGCTCACTTTTCTAATAAATGCATAAAATCGCCGGTATAGTTACAAGCAACCGAAATAGCGTTTCGCAGTGATATAGGTAATGATTAAAACCGCCATCGGTAATGATTATGGACAAGAATATTTCCGATCATATATAACTATTATTTATGATTGAATACGTTTGAATCAGAATAATAATCGTTACGTAACAATTTTTCTCATATTGATTATAATAATTATGGATCATGATTAAATGATTAAATAATGATAAAATGATTAGATAACCGTGATAGTCAGAGCCTCTGCGTCGCGTCGCGTTCGGAGTTATGATGCACAGACGTTATGCGTCTGCTATTATCTCCCTACTCCCCTCCTATTCGAAGTCTGGCTTTTAAAAAGTTATGGTATTTCCGGGAAATAAGAGATTCCTTGGGATGATTTGAAGTAACTTTTTCCTTAGCGAAAACACAATCCGCGGCTTGGTTTGCGAGTTATTAACGAAAAACAGTGACCAATGAGAGACGAGCTCAGTTGGCGCGAAGCGGCCGAACCAACGAGCGGTCAAAGCCCAGTTCTGCCGCCTCGCGTCAGCTGGACTCTCCAATCGTAGAGCGAACGCGGCCGGCGCTCCGCCCTTGCGGCCAATGCCGCGACGCGCTGGCCGTCTGACGCAGCGGCAGAGGTCGCGAGGGCGGGGCGCCGCCTGCCCAGCTCGCGTCTCATTGGTCACTGTTTTTCGTTAATGACTCGTAAACGAAGTCTCGTAGAACATTTTCATTAAGGAAAAATTTAATTCAAATCACCTCAGGAACCTCTCATTTCTCTCTTGGACAATAATTTTGGGACAACCTGTATTTTTAGCCCTTCGAAAATCGCTAATCCGTTCTTCTATTGCAACGGCTCTCGTTTCAGTTACACTCTTACTGTTGCAAAAATATCCCGCAAGAATGCACCTTTGGGAACTTGAAGCAAATCTACCTACCGCCGCATGCAGTCAGTATTCCGCGCACGGAGATTCCCATGGAGACGATCATCGGAGTGCAAGTACGACGAAACGAAGTCCTGGCGCGTGAGTATTCCTGCCGTAAGTGTCTATTCTGCAAATAAACCTCCGAAATATCGATTAAAGAATGCGTGACACGTGGCCGAGTCTATCTGTCTATAACTATCTATCCGAAGTAGTGGAATGAAGTTACGCGGAGTGTAACGTGTACTGTACATACATATACTGTAAATAAAAATGGGTGGGTCACCTGGAGTCCACACGTCCACGTTCACCGTCACAGAATCACGAGGAAAGTATTTATTCCGTCGATACGATACAACTCAGGCGGCTCACTCTTCGTGCAGGGTGTCCAATAAAATACGAGAACATAACTGTAACCGAGAGCGTTGGCCGCTAAGTACTAAGCGCAGTAAAATCTCCTTAATTCACGCTCAGATTGTACACGAAAATGGACAATTTGGGAAGCGGAGATACGATTATTCGAAAGCCTCGCGACTCGTTTTTATAGTTACCGATTGTCAACGACTATTATTATTTAACTCCTTCAACACCGTGCTATATTTTCTATGTTTTACTATTTTCCTCGAAACGCATAATTTATATGTTATTTAACGTCTTTGTTTACGAGTTATTAAGGAAAAAGTATGACCAATGAGTGATCGCGTACGGCCAACGCACCGCCCTGCCCTGTGTCAGACGGCCCGCGCGACGCGGTATTGGTCGCAATGACCGTGCGCCGGTCGCACTCGCATTCTGATTGGTCCGTATTTTTCGTTAATAACTCGTAAACAAAGGCTCGTAGAACATTTTCGCTAAGGAAAAAGCCTCTTCAAATGACCTCAGGAATTTCTAATTTAACATAGGAAGTAGCATAATTTTAGGATACCCTGTATATCAAGCATGAAATCGTACGACATTCAAGGGAAAAATGGAGGAGACATAATTATATTTTATACTACACTCGAATCTTTAACTCCTTTCGGAAAATTGATGCAAAATTCCTCGTTAGCTGTGTATCAGAAACAGATTATCATCGTTGAAAAATCAATCTGAGAATAAATGTAATAGATATTTAGGCATAATTTCGTATACATAATGGAACAAGTTATACGGTTTGTAGAAAATATCGATCTTTGTCAGAATTTTCGAAATTTGTAAATAAAAAAACCTTATGATATTCAAGGCGCAACATTTGTTTTCAGAACTTTTCAAGGATCGCAGTCTTTAAAAAATCGCATTGTATTGCGTCACATTTCATAAATTAATCCCAGGTACAACGAAGAATTTTGTTCACGAAACTTTTCGCTTTGAAATATTTATAATCAAACGACATGGACGCAAAAGTTCTAAATAACAATGCTTTGTAGAAAATATGAAAAGTATGAAAGTGTCCTTGAAAATAATCCGTTATATATTGTGCTCGTATTTTCTGGTATACCCTGTGCACGTACCTTACGGTTTACTGTTGTACATACGGATAAATGTCGGCAGATATCGACAGAAACACTTCTAATATCTATTTCCGTGTACTACAAAGAAGAAAAGAGACGAAAAGAAGATCGAATTCATGCTAAATTCGAGCAAGATCATCGTGTTCTGACTCCTAAATACCCAAAATTGTTACTTCCAGGAAATGAGGGGTTCCTAAGGTCATTTGAAGAAACTTTTTCCTTGGCGAAAATGTTCTACGTGGCTTTGTTTACGAGTTATTAATGAAAAACACAATGCCGCGTCGCGCGGGCCGTCTGACGCAGGGCGGAGCGGAACGCCAGTCGTACACGTTCTCTCATTGGTCAGTGTTTTTCCTTAATAACTCGTAAACAAAGTCTCGTAGAACATTTTCGCTAAGGAAAAAGTTACTGCAAATCATCTCAAGAATTCCTCACTTCCCATTTGTACAATAACTTTGGGACACTCTGTATGTTTCCGTGGGGACGGAATTCGGCTTTCGGATGGATGTTCTCGTTAATTTGGTTGTTGCACATCGGTCTTAACTCGACTTCGACTAAATATTAATACAGTAAAGTCTCCCTAATTGACGCTCAGATTGTACACGAAAATGGACAATTCGGGAAGAGGAGATACGATTATTCCAGAGCCTCGTGGCTTGTTTTTATGGTTGAGGATCAGTAACTATAAAAATGTGTAAATAATCGTATCTCCTCTTCCGAAATTGTCCATTTTTCTGCACAATCTGAGACGTCAATTACGAAGAATTTACTGTATACAGGGTGTTCGGAAAATTGTGGTACAACCGGCAAGGGGGTGATTCTACATACAAAAATAAGTCGAGAAAGAGGAATAACATTTTTTTATTTAAGGCTCCGTTTTTGAGAAAAATTAGATTGAAAAAGTAATACTATTGAATAGGAATCAACTGGCGTGTATGTGATATACCAATTCTACTTCTCGTCATATTACAAGCCACGCGAATTTACGCATCTTTAAACTCAGTTTTCTCGAAAACGGAGCCTTAAATAAAAAAATGTTATTCCTCTTTCTCGACTTATTTTTGCATGTAGAATCACCCCCTTGCCGGTTGTACCACGATTTTCCGAACTCCCTGTATATCACGGAAACGTTTGTAACGTGTGATCGTTCAACATCAACGATATCTGCATATTACGCTCAGATAACAAATAATGGCTCCATTAAATTGTTCCGAATTTGACGGACGGTCGAATCTCAGGCCGAATACATATTGTACCTTGATTTATACCGTTTCTCAAGTTGTTTTATGGACGTCACACCAGCGTTGTCTCTCGATGCACTCTGCTCGAGGAGAAAAAAAGCAACACGATCACGTTAGTAATCACGTTCTGCTGGATGCACAAGGAAAAAGACGCCTATTTAGATCGTATCACGTGACACGTCATGGCAAGATATATGTAGGGTGGCCCAAAAATGTTTTGCAATCCAGAAATGTGGGGTTCCTGAGGACATTTGAAGTAACTTGTTCCTTAGCGAAAATGCAGTCCGCGACTTCGTTTACGAGTTATTGACGAAAAACACGGACCAATCGAAGAGCGAGCGCGGGGCGCCAGCGGATCTAGCCGCTCATTGGTCATTGTTTTTCGTTAATAACTCGTAAACAAAGCCTCGTAGAACATTTTCGCTGAGGAAAAAGTTACTTAAAACCACCTCAGAAACCCTCCATTTTCGGATTACGAGACATTTTCGGGACACTCTGTATATTTTAGATTTAGACAGAGCAATTTCACACGTTCTACATGTTTCTCTTCATCTGTTCAAATAGGACTTTTCCTCCTCCTTCTTCTTCTTCTTCTTTTTCGGAGTTTCCGAGTCGATAGTTTGCGCGCGCGCACTTGAAAAAGAACAAGAAACGAACGTGTTCCGAACAGCCCGAACAGAGAAAAATTTACCACGACCGTGTTGCACCGCGCGATAATGTCGATTACCTTGTATCGCGAAGATATAAATGGGGGAACAGAGCGGAGGGCACAAGATAATTTCCATTATCTATGCCAACGTTGCCGGGAGCACGATCTGAATATTTCGATAATGTTTTAGGCTCGTTCTTTTGCATGATCTTTGGTATTCTCGTTTCTTTCGTACACATATTGTATAATAATGCCACTCAACTTTGTAATATACAGCGTGCTACAGAAGTAGTAGTACAACCGAGAAGCGGATGATAATTGCACGCGCACTTGTTCGAATTAATGGGAGGTACAATTATTTTTTTGGAGAAATTAATTTGATTTTCAATGTTCGTTTAAGTTCTTTTTCTTACATGTCAT